ACATTGTGCTGCTAGTGAAGCAATTATAGACTTCAGTGCTGCATGAAAGACTTCATCAGTTTTCTTGAGAATAGGTTCTCTTTTAGATTTGGAAGTACGGGATTTTTTCCCTTTGGTTTTTACTGAAACTCCACGTTGACGAGTTTTTTTTTTACACTAAAGCAATTCTGAGGTTCATCCTCCTCCTCTTCTTCTTCAGTTAACTCTTCCTCAGTTTCTTCATCAGTTTCCTCATCACTTTCAGATTCTTCATAGTCAACTATGTGAGTATTGTTAACTTTCTTAGTACGTCTACTCCGTGAACACTTGTTTTTGGAATGACCTGTTCTACCACAGTTTGAGCAATGACGTTTAGAAGAAGATTTGGTTGTCTTTGTCACCTTTTTAACCTGGCCAGTTCCAAAGTGATCTTTTCTTAGATGTTGTGTTTGTCCACCTAACTTTCTGGTAAGATCACTCTCAATGAAAGTATGTATTGCTACAGGATTTGTTATGTCACCAGTATAGCCAAGACGTACTGCTATATCTGCAAGCTTTTCTAATGCAGTTCTATTCTGTGGTTGTTCTACTATAGTGGTTGGATTTTTTCGCCCTCCACTTTCATACCATTTATTACGTAACTCATTAAAGAAAGCATCAAGATCAGCAGGAGCAGCAATTCTAACTCTCATTTCTAAAACATCAGGCAAATGATTATATAGATAAGGTAAAATTTCAGCATATACTTGTCCTTATGCTAATGATCGAATCCTTTTTGCATATGTATCTGGTGTATCTATAGGAGAAAATGATTCATTCATGAGTGCTATTATAGCACCTTGATTTGTTCCAACCATCACATCTCTATATTTTCCTTGCAGCCAGTTTAGAAACTCTGGTTCTGTATTAATAGCAGCATTGGCATTATATGGATTATTTGCTGGAACAGGAATAAATCTACCAGACATTTTATTTTTCATAACACTACACCTCATAGCAGCATTAAAAACAGCAACAGCTAGTGGACTAGCCATTTCATTGACAGCTCTAAGCTTTTGATAATAAGAGTCTGGCGGCTCTTGTCCATCATAAAATGGTAACTGTGCAAGACCTGGTGATATAGTATGCATGACATCTTGTATTGTAGCCATGTTTGGAGGATTGTTTTGTAACGCTAATATTTGTTGTTGTAAATTTAAAATATTTTGGGCCTGTGCTTGTACCTGGGTCTGTGAAATCCTATATTGTCTTTGCCAGTTTTGTGCCTGACGTATACAACCTGCATGCCTTCTTCTCCAACGTTCTGTATCAGCATTATAGCGTAACATCAGCCTGTGTGCATTCCTTCTATGCTCAGCTATCTGATTCTGTTGGTTTGCTATCTGATTCTGTTGATTTACCAGCTGATTCTGCTGGTTTGCCAGTTGTGCATCTTTACGTCTATTCAGAAAACGTATACCTAGATTGGCTATTTGTATTCCTGCAATACGTGCTTGATTCTGTTGTGCAACAGTTTCCCAGTGTCTACGAGCATTTGTCTCATATGTAAAATCATCACGTACTCTTATTAAGTCTTGATTAAGAGCATTTGTACGATCTAAAGATTCTCCAAGTAATGTCTGCAATCCTTCTATCTGATTTAGTTGGTCTACACCAATTTCTTGCATTAGAGCAGCTTGACGAATAATTTCATCAAGACTTTGAGTGGTAGCATTAAAGACATCATCTATGTCTTGTGGAATTGGAATCCTATTCCGATCAAAAAATAGTCGAATCTCAGACACACAATCTGCAACTGCCCGTCGGCGGTCTAGTATTCTTAGAATAGGATTGAATAATTCATTATCTTCATCCATTTCTATCTTTCCTTTACATAAAGATAATTCTTGAATGCGTTTTTTGAGTTTATCTACTGTGTCTTCAAGCTGAATAATACGTTCATCCTGGGCAACAAGTGCCTCTTCCTTTAACTCTAAGTGATCTCGATACTTTCCAAGTTCAACTAAAGTGGACTGACACTCTGCCTTTAACTGATCGATCTCATCCTCACGTGAAACAAGATTTTTTTCAAGATAGAAGATATATCGTTCACATGCCTCTATCTCCTTTGTGAGTTTACGGATTTTCTCCTTATTGGAAATATTATTTGTTTCCTCTAATATCAGCTCTTTACGTAAAGCAAAGTTGCTATTTAGCAGATCAAGATATGCCTGTTCAACTCCCATTGATTCCTATTATTCCAATAGATTCTGATGAAGCACGAAATGTAGAGGTGACTTCGACTTTATGCAGAATATTTTATCAACCATCTGGATATCAGAGGACTGCCAAAAAATTGTATGAGACATCACAAAATGCTGGATATGATTTCACCTTGGATGAAGTGCAGGATTGGCTTGAAAGACAGGCAGTACATCAAATCCACAAACCTCGTCCCCGATTTATCCCTCGTGTAAGTTTTAGTTCTATACAAGTTCCCAATGAAGTTCATCAAGCTGACATTTTGTATATGCCATATGACAAGGTTGGACATGTGACTTATCTTTTCTGTCTCAATATAGTTGATATAGCATCGAGGTATAAAGAAAGTGTCCCTATAGGTTCAACCAGTGTTAAAGATCGACAGGGAATCCTAACTTCTCATACTATTGCTCGGGCTTTTGAAAAGGTATATGATGATACAACATGTCCGCTCACTTGGCCAAAATTATTGATTACAGATAGGGGTTCAGAGTTTAAAGGTGAGTGTGAAAAGCTGATGACTTCCCATGGTGTAAAGATTCAGAAGGCCAAGTCTAAGCGTACTGTTGGCATTGTGGAGCGATATAACCGTACCTTGGTTGAGAAACTATTTCCCTCTCAAGATGCATCTGACTTACTAACTTTAGGTAAAACGAGATCTCGAGTCTGGGTAAAAAACTTACCTATTGCTGTAGAAAGTATAAATAACTCAGTGACCCAACAACTTGGTATATCTCCTGCTGTAGCTATAAAAAAATCACGAGTGTCTTCCAGATCTTCTTATCCTCGTGATGGACCTGTTGGGTATGAAGAAGAGAAACTACCACCTGATATAAGTGTAAGGTACTTACTTGAACCAAATGATCTGGAAGGTGGAAGACGTCGAGCAGGAGATATGAATTGGTCACCTAAGATTTATCATATCCATATGTCTTTAACACAGAAAAATCAACCAGTTTTGTACTGGCTTATTGATGATGATGGTAAAGAATCAGAGAGATCCTTTGTGAGGGAAGAACTTTTGGTTATACCAGATGATACAGAACTTCCACCACAATGGGTACTTATGAATTAAGATAGTCTTCTACCTCATCATCTGCTTGGGAGTCTGTAAGGAAGTAGTCTTTTGCCAATTCGTAGTATAACCTGTATAGCTTATTAATAGCAGACAAAAGTTTTGGTTCTCTGCTATACCAGGTCTTATAATTTTCCAAGATTTGCTGATATTTTGTCTCATTAGGTAGAATAGATTGTGCTGTTTCAAGAACAAAATTTTCTGGTTCTTCTGCTTGACGCAATTTGATTATCCTTTGTTTGTAACATAACATGAATTTACCATCCTTTGGTTTCTTGTAAAGGATGCCTGCTTTAATTACAGCAATTAGAGCTGACTCAATTTCACGGTATGTTGGCTTAGCTGGTATAGCTTGGGTAGACATCATTTTTATATCATGTAAAGTTTTTTTTAATTTAACTTATTTATACTTAATAAAAATGATTGGAGAATATACTTGTGAATATTTACATAACACAGGAAAGCCTTGTGGTCGTCCTTGTGTGAGGCCAGAAGGTTGTCGCATTTATTGGAAGACAAAATCACGCTTTCCTTGTGCTGTATGTGGTAAACCTACAGGTTCATCTAGTGGTCGATGTCAATCTCATATTGGAAGTTAATATCAAAATCGGTATGAAAATAGGCTTCGACAAAGAATCAGAGCAATTTATGATTAGGGTTAAATTTTGGTTAGACTTCATTGTCCCAGAATTTTTCGTATTGCAGGACAAGCTTTACAATATGTCTAGTTGTTTTCCTGCTGTATATTTTTTGGTTAGACCTCGGACGGATTTTTGGTTAGACTTTTGGTTAGACCTGTTGTCCCAGATTTTTTCGTATTACAGAGAAAGCTTTACAATATATCTAGTTACCTTCCTGCTATACATTTTTTGGTTAAACCTGGGTTGGATTTTGGTTAGACTTCGCTGTCCCAGATTTTTTCGTATAGGAGAAAAAGCTTTAAAACATATATAGTTGCCTTCCTGCTATACATTTTTGGTTAGACCTGGGTCAGATTTTTGGTTAGACTTCACTGTCCCAGATTTTTTCGCATAGCAGGGAAAGCTTTACAATATGTCTAGTTGCCTTCCTGCTATACATTTTTGGTTAGACCTGGGTCAGATTTTTGGTTAGACTTCACTGTCCCAGATTTTTTTGTATAGCAGGGAAAGCTTTACAATATGTCTAGTTGCCTTCCTGCTATACATTTTTGGTTAGAGCATGAATGGCTTAAATCATCGAATGAATCCCTTTTAGAGTATCATAAAAATAGTATGCCACAATGGATTGCTGAATCGTGCCATAAGTATTACAGACACTTCGTGTCCTTCATACCTTTGGCACTTATAAAGGCAATCTGATATAGCATAAAATTATGATATCCTGGAATGGATTCATGCGTGGTAATAATGCCTAGGAATATATGATGTTAATCTTATCTACAACGCTTGGAGAGTTCTTTTTAGCTATCAAGTAATAACATATCAGGAATCAAGGTTAGGTGGTCTGGGGATAAAAAAACAGGTATAGTGTTATCATATCAGAAAACAAGGCTAGGTGGTCTGGGGGTACACTAAATTATGGTTAGACCTATGTGATAGCCGCTGTCCCAAAACCCCCAAGATTGTCCTACTGTATATTATATAGTATTTTGTATAATAAAAATGTAATAAAATTAATATTCTAATTAAAGGTAGACAAATCAGCCTATATGTTCTTTTTTAGGTATAATTTATCTATATATAGTAAGATCTTTAAAAATAAATTTTACCTTAGATTTCCAGTAACCTATCTTATAAGTAAACGGGATTCTGCTATATGTAGCAATATATAAACAAGAATCTTTCCATTCTTTTTTATATTAATAGCCTGCTGGAAAGCCAAATAGTTCATATTTATATTATTAAAAAACATTTTTTATATATAAAATTATAAAAATAAAATTATTTTTTTCACAAAAAAATTGTTATAATGATCATCAAAAAAAATTCCATTTACTAATTGATTTATTTACTATTAATATTTAGTAATTATCAAATATTCAAATTATTTAGATATTCAATCTATTTATTAATCTAAATTTATTCAAATAATAAATTTCAATTTTATAAAATTTTATTTTTTAAATTTAAAAATTTTTAATTATCACAATTTATTGACAAATATAGATTTTTTTTTTATATATTTTTATATTTTTTTACAAACTTTTCCTATTATCTTTTACATTAATATTTTTTATTATTTGAATTATTTGAATATATTTATTACATTTTTTTGAGATTTTAGAGGAAGTAAATCAAGATGGAATCCCAAATTACGACTTTTTTCTTTTTAAATACCAGCCATCAAACTTTGTTTTACAAAATGCATAACTTTTAATTTATAATTATATTAATTGGTTAATTTACTGCATTTTTTAGTAAAAATTTTAAATGTTAAAAAGTATTAAGTCCAAAATATAATGTGAATATTTATATAATATATACATATAAATTTTTTACTAAGATACAATGTATATAACTTTTGCTATATTTTTATAGCTCTTGTTCTAATTTATTAAAATATATAAGCATTTAAATTAATATTTCTTCAAGTTATATAGCCATTTAAAAATGGGATTTAAAACTTAAAGTAATTAGGGTGATTGAACCATGAGTGGTTGAGTTATCCACTGTAAGTGCATGCAAATTGTTTATATTGTTTGAATACCAAAAAATGACCCTGAGCGTATTATGGAAACAGGGGGTAGTAAGTGCAAGTAGTATCACACTATGGAAAATCCCGGGTCATGATTAATGCACGTAATGGATCAAAGATTCATATTTTAAACCTCTGGAACAGTATTCCGGAAAAATAAATATCTAATATTATAATGACTGATAAAACACCAGTTGGACCACAAATAGGCAATAGTGCTGATCATTTTTTTCAGTCTGATAGTGATCTGGTAACCCAAGAGCGTCGAACCGCAAAAAGAGAAAATAAAGCTGGTGATCCAATAGAGTGTACTTCTAAAGTCTTATGCTTGGTACTGTCCGAAAAAGCTGAAGAATCAGAGTATGCTTATATTGGAGAATCAGGTTTCATTGCGAAAAGGATAAACTTATTGGTATGATAAGAAACATATTATATAAAACTGCTGACAACAATGCTAATCCACTTTTTATTAGACTGGAAAAACTACTAAAGTTTTTAAGGGACATACTGGACCCGTTACTTGTCTTGGTTTATGGTATAAAGATAATGATGAATATCTTATAACAGGATCATGGGATAAGACTCTCATCAAATGGAATACAAAGGTGAATAAATTGATTTTTATAAGAACATTATTTAGAATTCCAATCTGTTATCTCGGATAGTTACATTTTGGTAATTACATTTTAGTAATTACATTTTAATATTTATATTTATATAAATAATTTAAGAAAACATTTTTTTGAGATATCCTATAATAAATACCAAAATTTAAATGAAGAATCAGATGACGGATTGATTAACTAATTTAGTTTTATGATCAATTATAGACTAAAGAGTCCATTCATACTTTTGTTGCGCATACTGATTTTGTAAAATCATTAGCAATTTCTCATTTTGCATCAATTCTTTATTCGGGTTCCTCAGATAATTTTATTTATTCATGGAATCTTGTAACCGGCGAACAATTACAAAAATTCAAAGGACATTCTCGTGGTATAGAAGATCTTGCTCTCGATGAAACAGAAACTTTTTTATTTTCTGCTTCATCAGATGGGTATATTAGAAAATGGAATGCAAATACAGGTGAATGTTCACATGTATTTAAAGGACATTTAACAAGTGTATATGCGTTGAAAATATTTAATGAAGAAATGTGGACGGGTAAGTATTCAGGCTTTTTATGTTACAATAGAATTTTTATTTAAGCTAATATTATAATTATAATGGTACCTTAGCATCTGCTGATAAAACAGTAAAAAGATGGGATTTAGAAGTAATATGCTTTATAAATATCGTTTCCTATTTTATCATCTAATAAATGTTAAAGGGTAATTTATTATTTAGACTGGTGAACCAGATACAACTTTAGCACATCCAGATTTCGTTAAATGTCTTGTGGTTATCGGGCCATATGTTATCACTGGATCACGTGACGAGAATATTAGAATTTTTGAGATCGGGGTTTGTATGAAAGTTTCCTACATTTTAATATATATACATATATTAATCAATTCTTTTATTAGAATGGAGATATGATCAATAAATTTGAAGGTCATTTTGATGAAGTTGCCTGCATGGCTGTCAGAGGAATTACATTATATACAGGTTCTTTGGATTGTACTATAAGAAAATGGTCCATTGCAGGTATTATCCTTTGGTAACTGAAGATATATTTTTTAATCATATATTAAAATCTATTTTAATATTTAATTTTTAAGAAGAAGATATTCGTACTAAAACAGAAAATAAAAAGTCCTTACAAAAATCAATTCCAATTAAAAAAGAAGTCAACTCTTCATTGTTAACTGAAGAGGAAGAACGTGAATTGGCTGAATTAATGGAATGAAAAGTTAATTCGTGATCCCGTCTCGGAATCAGTAAAAGATACTAATATTAGCTAAAAATGTTTAAAATAAAAAAAAATCAATAAATGCTAATATAATTTCTGCAACTATTGTATTTCTAAACAAATTTATTTTTAAGGGTTAAGGGCTGGAACCTGGAATTGTTAAAAGAAAAAAAATTTTTAATTATTAGTACTATAGCAAAAATATTGTCATCTCTAAATTTTCTTAATTTTGAGCCATCATTTACATTACTTTCTAACTATAAATTATTAAATAAATTCAGCTAAATTCTAATCTTAAATTTAGTTTATAAATTTATTGGATTTTTTAAAATAAATTTACTCACTACCTATAAAGATAAATTATAGCTCTTTGGAATTCTCTTATCATGATGCATTAAATGGTAGTAAATCTAACATTGATATATGATTGGTTAACAATATGTAATTATTGAATAATTTATATATTAATGATAGGGATATGAATTTACTACTATTTGATGCATTATGATAAGAAGATTTCAAAGAGATATGATTCATTTTTATAGGATTGTTAAATGGTAAATAAGTGCATTTTAAAATCTGATAAATTATATAATTAAATTTGTGATTAGAATTTAGCTAAATTTATTTTAAAAAGTAATGTAAATAATAAAGTTCCAAATGAATAGCATAGCAGAAATCTTTACTTTATCACAATTTTGTTGATTATTTATCAATTATTCATTCAATTTTATTACTTTGCTATAATTATTTCAATTAAAAATCCTATATAATAATAATTTTATAAACAGTTTATTAATATTCATTTAAATTTACTGCATATTAAATTTTATTAAAAAAAAATCTTTAAACAATTCATAAAGTTTTGCCAAATTTTATCTATATGTTGTAACCAAAAATATGGGATAAATTACGCAGAAATTGATGTTAGTTAAAAATATTTATTTATTTAATATAGGAATTAATATTGTTATATTTTAGATAGTTTTATAGTTTAGTTTGTTAACATATGATTAGCATGTGACTTAACACATAATTTATAATAATGCAAATATTATAGAACATTATAAAATATTGTAGAATATTGTAGAATAATTTATAATATCACAAAAGTTTAGTATTACAATAGTTTAGTGAAACATTAAAATATATAAAAAGGCTGGATTTTAACTTTTATCAGAATTTTTAGCTTTTAACTCATTATTAATAAAAATATTATTAATTATTAAAAGTTATTTTGAATATGCTCATGATATGCCTAAAATTTAATTAATATTAAATGATAAATCCAGAGAAACGAAGTATGGAAAATTATTCCAGTTTAATTAATTGATGTAAAGTTTATTTAATAATGTAAGGAAAACTGATTATCGAAATTTGAAAGTTAAATTTAAAGTTATAAAAGAAATAAAGAAATGTTAAAATCTAAATTAAGCATAATATTAAACTAAGTGTCTACTGATATATGGCAAGTATCAGTGACAATGTGTATTTTAATAATATTTATAAACATTTGCTTAATGATAATTTTTTAATTATTTAAAATTCTATATGATTATTTTAGCCATTAATTCTTGAATATTTAAATAATATATTTTGAAAATTTGAAGTTTTACCTGTAAATCTGTGATTTTTCTGAAACTTTAAAGTCAAATTAGAAGATAATTAGCAAATATTAGCAAATATTTACTAATTATTGAAAATTTCAGTTTAAGGTTAACTTTGATAATTAACAATATAATTTTTTTACCATAAAATTTTTTTAATATATTTTTCATAAATTATACTATAAAAAACATTTAGTATAATTTGTTCAAGTATTTTTATGGCTTTAAATTTCAAAATTAATATAATCTATACTATATAATAATTGTTTTTATGTATAACCATAACATTTAGACTACCCTGTATAAATAAATTTTAATTGTGTAATATTGTTTCTATTGGCATTTTATCATATGATATTACACTAACTTCCAAAAAAAAATATTTTGCTTTTCATAAAAATAGGGATTTTAGTTTTACAAATATTTCAAAAAAAAAAATTTTTTACATACACTAATCATATAATTCTGACCAGAATTAATTTTTTTCTCCTTTTTATTGTGAAGTAATAGAAAACTAATCTGTACAAATATTTTTATATTGTGTTGCCTGCATTACCTGTTACATACAGATCATGTTTAAGGTTGCTGGAGAAACTAGAGGGTTTTGACAAATTGGTAAAATACCAAAATGGCAAAACTTTACCAAAACTATATAAAAGTCTTATTAAAAATTGGCAAAACTCTAGAGAAAAGCGAAACCTGATAAAACTTATTATAAATGCTGAAACTACCAAAACTTTGCCGAAACTATAATAAAACTATAGTAAAATTTTGGAGAAACTAATCATAGAATTTTGGAGAGGTTTAGGCAGGCAATTTTAGTCATACTTTTTTATATGTATGTATATTGTTGCAAAATAACGGGTTAATGGCTAGTATAATATATTATATAATCAATAAATAATTAGTAAAATAATATACTTAAATAGGTCAGATTAGATCAGATTAGATCAGATTACCGTATATCGTAGACCATAATATTCAAGGTTGCTTGGCTAAACTCATTTTAACTTTTGACAAAAGTCTAAACTTTAATTAGTAATAGTTTAAACTATGACAAAAGGTTTTGACAATGGCTAAATATTTAAACTATATATAAACTTTCTAATTAATAAAATTTAAAATAAATAATTATTAATAATACATTATTGTATATATTTAAATAAATTTTTTATAAAATAATTATTATATATTAATTAACAATTATTAATAAATACAGTCGAACCTCCATATAGTAACATTTCATATAGTCACATCATATAAAATTTCTCCATATACTCATACTTTTAGAAAAAATCAATTTATATAATTATTATATAAAAAACCTTTATATAATTACATCATAGTAAAAGCCTCTAACCAATTAGATAACTATATAGAGGTCTGACTATACTAGTAATAATATATAAAAAGTAAAATTATAAAACTAGTTATTAATTAAACTTATTATATATTTTAATATATATAATGATTTAAATAATTAATATAATATATATTAAATTTTATAATTGCAATTTAATATATATTCTAGTATAATAGTTTAAATAATTTAATATAATATATATTTAAATCATATAATTTATTATAATAAATGGTAAACTTTATTAATTACTATGTAAAAATATATTTAAACCTTTCACAGTTTTACCAGTTTCATCAGTTTCGCAGTTTTGCAAATTTTTAATTTTTTAATAAAATGTTTCAATTAGTTTCAATTTTAACAATTGTTTAAATTACTTAGTTTTGCCTAACAATCTTAACAATAATCCTCCTATACATAGTACAGTCAACTCTTTATAAATGCATTCTCTATAAATGCACATCCTCTATAAATGCACCTTTTATCTAGTCCCAACTTGGGCTTTAATGCTAAATGCACAGTTTTTATATATATGTATTCTGTAAATACCGTATTGACTGTATAATTTAGATTTTTGATTATATTATTATTATATTATTATTATAAATTAATACAATAATATATAGGCTGATTATTGGTAATTAAGTGTAATATAAAATTACTATTTTTAGTAAATTGTAATTAATAGTACTGAGCCATCGAGCCATTGTAAAAAATTGGTACCAATCAGCCATCAATCAGATATTTTAATCAATTATCAATAGGTTATCAATTAGCCTTAAAAAATAATGTCAGTGGGTTGCCAACCTGTTATTAATCGTTAATCAATTGGCTATCAATCATATTGTCAAATTGGATACTAATAAGCTATCAATCATCTATCCAACTTGTGACAGATTTTGGCAGAAATTGACTCAATCAGCCATCCAGTTGAATCAATCGATTATCAGTCAAACATTCAATTGATGACTTATTGGTAGCCAATTTGACATCATTTGACCTGTGTTAAGTTGTGGTTTAAAAAAGATTTGAAAAATTATATAATATAATTATATTGAAAAATCTGGCTGAAATTATTATCATAGCTTAATTTCAGCCTAATTTACAATGGCAAAATTCTTTGATTTTATATAAAATAAAACAATTTTAAAAATAATAGATCTTTTGATCAAATTATCCAATTGGAAAAAACTTTCTATTATTATAATTACAAAGTAATATTCTATTAAATAAGTAAGTTTAAAATTTTTTTATTTAATATAAAAAGTTTTTTCTATTCATTTCAAGCTTCCCTTTAAAATTACCTGACTTTAAACTATATGCACTATATTATAATTACAATCATTTATATAATTACTTTAGTTAAGTATTGAGATCATATTAAAATTATATTTGAAAACTTGTAAAAATGTAGAAATTGTAAAAATTAATTTTAGCATTTCTACAAATACTTGTATATAATTTTAATATAATTTTGAGTTTTTGACATTCTTACAGTATTTTATACAATTTCTACAATTTCATATACTTCAAAATATTAAAATTAATTTCAGTAGGCAACTTTAGTTCTGTAACTGATATAACTATATTCCATTCAATAATATATATGTATTTAATACAGTCAACTTTCTCTAAATGCACTCTCTTTAAGTATACATATTATATATTTATTTCCTAAATACACCACCCTCTTATAGAAAACATAAAATTTCTCTCTCTAAATGCACATCCTCTTTAAATGCACACTTTCATTATATTTTCAAGAGGGTGGAGAAAGTTGATTATTCAATAAATTTCTTTTTTGATTACTCACCAATGTCTTGAAATTTGCCAATAACTTATTTGATAATTTAGGTATAAACTTACCAGTTTACAATCCTGCCTCACTGCTCATAAAATATTATTTGATGGATATATAATTATGTGAAGTTATACAGTTATGTGATTGTATATTCCACAACACGTTAGGTAATGCCGCCAAAAAGTCACATTAAAGTAATATTATTGCTCAAAAGGTCTCTCGGAAACCATTTATTTTAAACATATATGTCGTTAATATCCTCCTCCCATGCCACTACCATTTGATCCTTCATGATTAGCATAATACAAATTATAATCCAATCTAACTACTAAACATAGAAATTGAACTGTTTCAGTAGCTGAATAAAAATTTAAAGCTTCAATTAATAATTTTATATGATAAAAAAAATTATCTTCAAATTTATGTAATGTCCTATCTATAGAGTCCATTTGTGAAGGAGTAGACGTGGATTCCACTTGTGATAATTGTGATTCAAGTGCAATAAGGGACCTCGTGAATTTATCATAATAAAGACAGAATAATACTATTGTATGTACCATTTTTGCATAAATCTAAAATTAAATAAATGAAGTATTTAGAACAATTAATTTAATTCTAATATAATGAAATCTTTTATTGTACATAACTTACTCTCAATAATTTAGCATTAGTTAACATGCATTCTTTAAGACAAGTATCCAGAAAATCGGAATGATATTGCAACACTTGATCAACTGTTGAAACCTGCATAGAAAGAAGAATTTATATATCTATTCTCTTAAAAGTAATAATTATAAAGGGATTGATTACCTTAACTAAATTTGCTTCCAAATTTCTCCATTGAGGCTCTAAAACTTCACTTGTTACGTAATACGAAAACTGTTGCACGAAAACTAACATCCTCTGCCTGAGAGCAAAAGCACGGCTTTTCCATGCTTCTAGAGCTGGATGTCCTGAACCACGACGCCAATGGAATGATTTAGTATGCTCAGTCCACGTATTACATAGTAATTGTTCGATATATTTAAGATAAAGTAAATGTCGAAACAATAGTTGATATTTGGTAAGTGCTTTACGAGAAATAACTAAGGATAACGGAAAGGTAACGATATAATCCAAAGTAAGTGCTTCAATTCCTATAATAAACAAACTATCATTAAATGGGACTAACACAAGTTAGAAAACAAGATATTGTCCAAATGGTCATAGAAAGCTAACCTGTCAATGGTTGTTTGTTACTTCCACCCATGATACTCCCAGATATACTTCCAGCCAAACTGCTAACAATACTTCCAGTGACGCTACCTGCCACACTAGAAGCATAGCCTGGTTTTTCCGTACCACTTCCTACGCCATCTTCTGAACCTTCATTTTCGCTTTCAACATCTCCCATCTTTACATTTTCCTTTCTGAAAGCAAAGCTTTCAGCCAAACGATTTGCCCGACTAAATGCAGGAGTCGGTTCCATCATTCCGGCAACATTGATAATGCGTAGCAATTGGTCTACTAGACCAACGGTACTCATTTCAACTTTCACATCTTCCTTAAATGGATCAGTGTAAGCAACTGAAGAAGGATTACGAAGGACTAAATCAAGTAGAGACTGAAGCTTTGTAAGAGAAACATCTTTGGAGGGTTTTTTCAATTCAGCTGAGGCAAGGTCAAGGAAGTGCGTAAAAAAGTCAGATTGGTCTAGGAAGAAATAACGTTTGATCGATCTATACATAGGAATCACATTTCTTGCCTGTTAGTTAAATTTTTAAAAATTTTTAAAGCAACAATAAATTAAATTTTGTATACCGTAGACGAGCGATAAGTTGCTGATCTTTCAATAATAGATCTAATAGAGTTCTATTTGCGCATTTATAAGCAATCTCAATATTATCTACGAACCTAATGATAGATCGTTTATAAAAGGTTACCAATATATTTAATATCATTATAATTAATAATTAATAAGTATTTTGAAGACCACTAACCTTCCACCATCCATAGCTACCAAAATATCACTGTTCACATTTACATCAGTTCTATCTACACCATCCTTTCCCACAACTTCTTCGGTTGATTGTTGTTGTGGTTCTTGAATTGCAATTCCACATTCGCGAATCACATTAAGATATTTACCAGCTAATAATATCTTATTCTTGAATGGAATCAAAAATGGAGGTAAAGTTTTATCGCGAATTGTGTAACGGGCCTCCCAGTACGCATCGTTGAAATCTTCTTTTAAATTTTCCTTTTTAACATTTTTACGTTCCTGTATCATGAACTCTTCATATGGATCTCGAATTTCGCCATGGTGTATCCAGGAGTGTAACATTGATACATAAGGCTGCGAGGCTTTTGATAGTAAATGCACATAAAGCTTTTTCGTTGCTAAATCGCTATTCGGAGACGACATTTTATTATTAATAAATGGTAGAGTAAATAATATTTTATGTGATATCTGTCTATTTACCCGCTCATTGTAGTCATTCTATCAACCAATATAGTTAGTATGCCACCACCTTTGATCTGTTGCGGTATTTCATCTTTTTTATTATTAAAACCCTCAACTATTAATATATCGTCTTCATCTTCACTTGCATCCTGTGCCGCATCTAGAATATCCATTACCAGTGAATGAAGATTCGACATTGTATGTAAAGTCGGATGCACATAGAACCAAAACTTTTGAAGAGTAAAAGAAGGTGACGTTCTGAACTGATGCTCTAATTGAGTAATTAGAATGAGATATTCCTGAGGATAAATAAGAAAAAGTCGATTTTATTTTTAAACTATCGAGTTCTGCCGAATATAAGATCAGATATATATTAATACCTTTAATAACCCGCGCATGGCTGCACATAAAGCATGGCTGACAAATCCATATTCAAACTTAGAATGCTTTTCAATAAAAGCATCGATTGAAGTAAAATACGTTGCAAGGGGTAAAATGCGTTCGGTCAAGTCCTTAAAAGAAGGATCTGAGAACAATGATAAAACAAATATATAATTATTAAATGTTAACTATACTAATGAGGAAAAATTAATACCTAGTGATTCATCTACATAATAGTTGAATCTTTCTGTCTGTTCTTCAGATTTGCCCATTAAGATACATTTGCCTTCTATCCCCTTTAGTAGTATTGAAGGTGTCAATATTACTATAGTGAAATAAATATCCTTAAGTAATTTATTTCATACCATCATCACGAATAATAAATCCTCGATAATTGCATATTCTTGTAATTGCAGTGGTAATAAACCTATTTTCAAATCTTTTTCATTGATGTCCCGCTGCTCTTATAATAATTAAAATATACGATTAATTTAGTGTTTATGATCCCCCTTTTTATAAAAATGCACTACGTACCGTCGGTGAATAACGAACTCTAGAATTTAATGGCGCGCTAATGAACTCACGTTCATCATAAAATGACTTTGAGGTATAACCTTATTGAGAATAATGGTTAATTCTAAAGTTAGTTAACTACAAAATGTATATACCAGTGTCCTCATTCTAAAAAAGTTACCTTCAGGGGTTAATTTATATTGAGAAACGCGTGATTTATTTGTTGACGATTCGAAACTTTTCCCATTGGTGCTTTGACGAATGTTCGCTAGCTGTGCAGTAAGCTTTATTTTACGAAATAACGCGTTGAATACAAGATATTTATCATTGGCTAGTCAGGTAAATATCAAAGTACCTTGTTAACTTGTTGCTCGGTAAGTAACCCCTTAGCGGATGCTGTTATAACATTTTTACTGGTCTGCTCAGCTGAAGGAGTTGCAGAAAATGATCTAGGCCTTGGTTTACTCATTTATATTAACGTCGGGTGCCAAAAATAAATTTTGACGAAAACTTTTATTTATTATTTGTTATAATGTCCATCTTTTGATGGATATCATGTGATTTTCCAGATCTGTGGTACAAATCTCAAAAAATTTTTTTTTACAGTTCTTCCTTTTCTCCTCTCGTCATTAATAACGATGGTGAGTTTTTTATCAATCCATTGTTTTTATAAATAATTTCATTGAATCTTCTTATACTTCATAATCAATTTTGATTTTAAATTTCAGTCTGCAGCTATAAGACCCCAGATCAATATTTACTCTGAGTCAGGAGATAGTACTATTGGAAAGCATGTACTTCCAGCTGTTTTTAAAGCTCCAATTCGTCCTGATATTGTGAGGGTTGTTCATACAAACATCTCAAAGAGTAATCGTCAGCCTTATGCGGTTTCTTCAAAAGCTGGACATCAAACTTCAGCTGAATCTTGGGGTACTGGTCGTGCAGTTGCCCGTATTCCTCGTGTGTCTGGGGGCGGTACTCACCGTGCTGGACAGGTTGATATAAATTATTAAGATACTGGTCATAATTAGTGTAAAAATTTATTTATTTTTATTAATTAATTATTTATTTGTTTTCTTGGTATTAATTAGGGTGCTTTTGGTAATATGTGTCGAGGTGGTCGTATGTTTGCACCTACCAAAATTTGGCGTAAATGGCATGTTAAAACTAATTTGAATCAAAAAAGATTTGCCACAGCATCAGCTTTAGCAGCATCATCAATTCCATCGCTCGTATTAGCAAGAGGACATCGTATTGAAGAAATTCAGGAAGTACCGCTTGTAATTGGTAGTGGCATTGAGTCTTTAACTAAAACTAAAGCAGCAGTGGCACTTCTTAAAACTGTTCATGCTTATAGAGATGTAGTAAAGGTTTCAAATTCTCGTAAATTAAGAGCTGGTAAAGGCAAATTGCGTAATCGTAGACATCGTCAACGTAGAGGTCCACTTATTGTTTATAATGAAGATAATGGCGTCGTTAAAGCTTTTCGTAATATTCCTGGTGTTGAATTAGTTAATGTTAGAAGATTAAATTTATTACAGTTAGCTCCTGGTGGCCACGTTGGTAGATTTATTATTTGGTCTCAGGGTGCTTTTGCTTTATTGGATAGTTTGTTTGGAACTTATAGGAAATCCGCTGCTCTTAAAAGAGATTATCAGTATGTGTATTTTTTTTATTTTTATTTTTAGAAAAAAATACAATTTAAACTATTATTTTATATTCATTCTCTGAATTTATCACAGTCTTCCATCACACATTATTACCAATTCAGATGTTACCAGTATTATCAATTCTAAAGAAATTCAATCGGTTCTTCGACCTGCCGGCGAAAAACATGAAAAACGCCCATTTACTCAAAAGAAGAATCCCTTGCGTAATAATGGTGTTAAGATTCGTCTTAACCCTTATGCTAAAATATTACAAAGAGCTGAAATTATTGCAGCTGAAAAACGTAAGGCTGGTAAAATTATAAAGAAGAAGCGTCAATTTAAAGAATCTACTAGGACTTCCGTTAGGTAGGCATATAGTAAAATTTAACATTTTTTTTTTGTTTATAAATTTTATAAATTAACGATTAATTTTTTTTTTTAAAAAAAAAAATTAGAACTCTTAAAATTTTGACTGATAAATAATATATAGTGATATTTTATTCTGTAGTTATATTTTAGTCAGTTTTTTTTACTAAAAGCATTAAAAGCAAGATTGATTTATAAATTGATTTCAACTTTTTATTAAAAAAAAACCTAACTTAAATTCAAAAATATTGATTATAATACCGTATAAATTAAATTGGCACGTGACTTATAAAGATGAGATTTTCCTAGTAAATTTTTTTTTTGATAAATTTCTTATTGTTTCGAAAAAAAAACAAACTTTAGAAAATATGAGAGTAACCAAACCGAAAAGTGGTAGAAGTTCGGCCTTAAAACGTTTAAATGCTACTTTAAAGGATGTTGGGCTAGTAGGACCAAAATCACGCTCAGCTAGCAAAAAAAGAACACACCCAAGAGATGGGAATGCTAATATTTCTAAGTTGAATAGTTTAGCGCCAAACCAAATCAATCCTTTTGAATTGAAAGTTAATAAAGTTAAACATGACGTATTAGGAAAGAAAATTAAAGGTGTTCAAGGTAAACCTGGATTAAAAAGGCAAATTGGAATTGAAAAGGCTTGTATATAAATTTTTTTTTTGTTTTTAAGCGAATTGTTCTAAATAAATTTTAATAATAACAGAGAATGAAAACGTTACTTGTTGAAATGGAGAACAAAAATAAAGTTGGAGGAATAGTCGATCACCGGTTTGGTGAAAATAATTCAAATATTTCACCTGAAGAAAAATTTTTAGAAAGATTTACTAAAGAACGACAAGTATTTTTACAATTTATTTAAAGTAAATTCTTAATTCAATAATTCAATTAATCAATTAATTTATAAAACATCTCAATAATAGAAGCGATCGAAATCATTATTTAATCTTGAAGAGGATGATGATGATTTGACTCATTATGGTCAATCTTTGGCTGAAATAGACGATTTTGATGAACCAGATTTGGTTTTAAGCGAAGATGATGAAAAGGGTATTATTTTAATCGAGACTATTTTGTAATTACATTTTTGTATATAAAATTTAAATTATCCTGTAATTAATTTTTAATTTTATATGATTAGGCGTTATTGATATGGAGACTGTATCTAGAAGCCACTTTGGTGGGTTCGAAATTACGAATGACAATGTAATTTACTACAATATATTTAATAATTATAGAATATTATAGTCTTTATTAACACATTATAAATTTTGTAAATTTAGGATGTTGGACGCAAGAAATACAAAAATGAAGTTATGAAAGAAATTATTGCTAAGAGTAAAATGCACAAAGTATTTTTTATTTATTTGAATTCTATCAAATTATTATATTCATCATATAAACTAAACTTATTTATTATTTAAGTACAAGTGTCAATTGGAGAAAGATGAAGATGAAAAAGTTCGACAAGAATTAGATATTGAATTAGATTCAATCCGTAATTTACTTATTATACCTCATGGTGAACCTTTTCAAGAATCTGGTTTTCTGAAGGTATTCTATGAAATGCAGCTTCATATTAATTGTTATATATTCTCTAAACAGTAATTCTTTTTTTCAGCAATCTGGTTCAATAGAAGTTGACAGGTCTGATGAAAAATATGAAGAATATGATAAAATTGTTCGTGAATTAGCTTTTGAAAAACGAGCAAGACCTACAAATAGAACCAAATCCGAAGAAGAAATTGCATTAGAAGAGAAAGAAAAATTAGAAAGATTAGAGGTATAAAAATTATCACAAATATTTATTTTAAATTAGTGTAATAAAGAATAATTTTTTTTTGGTTCATAGAATGCAAGAAAAAGACGCATGGAAGGCTTGAGTTCAGGATCAGAAGATGATGATAATAAAAGTAAACATAAAAAACAAAGACGTTTTCCAATAGCTGATGATTTAGGTGAAGATTATTTGACGGATAAGAATGATAATGATGATTTTGGATTAGGGAAAGGAATTACTTTAAGAAATTTTGGTACTATTGGAAGAACACAATATGGAGAATCAGACGAAATAGATATAGATGATGAAAAAAAAAGCCAAGATGAAGAGGAGGGCGAGGACGAAGAGAATGATGAGAGTGATGAAGACAATGAAGGGGAAGACAACTATATTGATAACGAATGTCATCTCTTAGAAGACATTAATGATTTTTCATTTAAAAAAGTTAAGATACTCCAGACTAAGAATCGTGTAGATTCTCAGGCTACTAAAAAGGAAAAGAACAAAGAAGAAAATAATAAAAGTGAATCTGTATTAGCATACATTTTCCCTTGTCCTTCAACTATGGAAAATTTTTTGGAAATTTTAGAGGATGTTGAGGATAAAGATGTGCCAGTAGTTGTACATCGTATTCGAATCCTTCATCATATAAAACTTTCTCCCGATAACCAAGAAAAATTAGAGGTATGATATATACGATGCTCAGTTTAATACGATTTAAATAATTATAATTATAATACTTTTCCAATTTAGAATTTTTTTAATATCTTGATGGACTACATTTATATTCGGATACAAGAAATTCCATGTCAAATGCATTTGATAAATCGATTATCATTACAAATATACGATTTAGTACAACAAATACCAGAATATACTATTAAATATTTTAAAGAAAAAATCGATTATCAAAAAAATAGTTTAGTGAGAAATAATAAGTTTCCAGGAATTACCGATCTTTTTTTATTTAAGCTATTCGGGAAAGTATTTTCTACGTCAGATTTTCATCATAACATTATTACTCCAACTTTATTATTAATTGGACAATATTTGTCTCAATGTCAAGTTATTAATGGAAAAGATTTAATATCTGGATTGTTTTTGTGTAATTTATTATATGAGGTGAGTAATATGAAGAAATTAACTTTTTGTTTGCAAGTTGTTGTTAAGAAGAATATTCCTTTTTAGTATCAAGCCTTATCACAACGTATCATTCCTGAAGCGATTAATTTTTTATTTACGACACTCGTATATCTTGCACCGAAAAATACATTCAATAATACACCATCAATCCCTGGAACATTTCCATTTCCTAATAGTATTAATTCCATACCTTCTATACTTCAAATAAAAGATGGAAAGAATATCGAAATTAAATTATTAAAATTTTCCGAAATATTAAATAAAAACGTTGATAATTTAGATACTGATGATTTTAGGTAAAATAAGCTTTATTATTATGTATTCGAATTAAGTATAAAATATATGAAAATTCAAAAGTTATATTTTTTTTTTCCTTTTCCTGTAGAGTATCGGTATTATTAGCTACTTTACATATCATAGAATTATATGCAAAATTATATAATTCTACTTCTGCTTTCATAGAATTATTTAATCCTGTATCGGAATTATTGTCTAGTTACCCATTAAATAAATTTGAGGAGTTAGTTAAGGTATTATTATGGTGGTTCATTTTTTTTTGAATATAGCATTAACACTTTTTTTTTTATGTAGAACAAGATAGAGACTATTCAGGAAACATTACGACGATTTCAAAAGTTTTCTAAACAAAATCGGAAACCACTTGAACTACAATTGCATAAACCAATTCCGATCCCCACATATATTCCTAAATTCCAAGAAAAGTACATAATTATTTCTATATATTATACGTTCAGTTTTTCACATTTAACTGATAATTTTTTCCTATTTGTCTTTTTATAGCTTCTCTATTGACAAATATTATGATACGAATAAAGATCGCGCAAAGATAAATAAACTTAAATCACAATATAAGAGAGAACATAAAGGAGCAATAAGAGAGTTACGTAAAGATAGTCAATTTATTGCTAAACAGCATATTATTGAGATCAAAGAAAAAGATGTTGTTTATAAAAAGAAAATTAATAGAATCAGGGGCACACTTGAAAATGAACAAAGTGAAAAAAAAGCTTACGAAAAAGCTAAAAAATACGGTAAATTATAAATCAATTAGGAATATCAAAATATTAATACTAGACTTGGTGATAAACCTTTATTATACGAAATTCCAATGTTGACAATCTTTACAATTTTCCTCATTAATACAACTAGCAACATCATCTTTACCGTTAGTTATATCATTCCAATTATCAATAACTTCAATAAAAGGTACTATACCATGACTTCTTATATCAGATTTCCAACCCAACTTTGATTTTGTATTATACACACATGACAAACCTGTATGACATTTGGTTTCCATCTTTTAGTTAAACATTAGATGTAAAAAAAAGAATTTTTTAATTAGTAAATGCTGTCTGTTAACGAAAAGTGTAATAAAAAACTAATATTATTACTTACAGCAAACCCCCAATGATAACAAATACTTGACCTGCCATTACATACACCCATAAATATAGGATCAGCTGTATGACCAAAATGATAAATGGGTAATTTATGAGAATCATGTGTAATTAATCCTAGTCTTTTTGCATATAATAATTCACCCGGTGTTTGATATGTAAATGCTGGTAAACTATTATTTAATGCTAATAATGATGCTAAAGATCCACCTATGTTATAGATAAGAGAAATAACGATGTCATGAAAAAGAAAACAAAAACTCTTTCTACTAAAGATTAAAGGGATTAATTGTTAAATATTACCTAGAGAATGGCCTGTTAACCAAATATCAGAATCTGGAAAATCTTTTTTAACCTTTTCGTATATTATCTATATTTTCCAAAAATCAATTATAATTACATATTTTTTAATACAGTATATAATAAATAAAAGCATACCTTGGCGCTAATAAAATAAGAACCCTCAACATTAGATTCCTTATGTAAACAGGTATTATCACAATTCCAACCACTTTTATAACATCCACATACACCTTTCCAAGTTATATCAATTTTTGCACAACAACAAGAAAACATTAAATTATCCTGCGAGATTTTTTTTATATATATGTTAATATTTTAAATGCCGATTACAAATTACAAATACCGAACATTAGAAAAAGAAAAAATCATACATTAAATTTATCGTTTTTCGATATTGGTCCACCACCGTATGGTAAATAAGATAAACTTGTTCCTTTAATAGCAACAATAATAGTTTTATTTTCACTATCAGAAAAAACATATCCTCGAACACCATCTTTTTCCCAACCGAATGGTATTGTCTGTAATCGAAATTAAATTATTAAATTTAATTTTTAAAAATATATATTAAAGTCATATGTACACTTACATCCCAATCTTCTAAATCAATCCAATGATCTTTTAATGGTTCCAATTCAATATAAGCATCATAAGACATTTTAGCCATTGATAATACAGTTGTTTTGTCTTTAGCATTAGGTACTTCTTTAACTTGAAGATTCTTTACATTCATTTCACCAGTTCCTTCTGAACCGTCAACATTTATGCTATTGATTACGTGTTCATTAAAATTTATAGCGGTGGGGTGCAATGGGTCCTTTTCTATATCATTAATATTAAGTTGTCTAAAAAGATGTCTGTTGGAAGGAGTTGTACCGTGATGTAATATATGTTTTAATTTAAATACTTTAGTGTTCGTTTGCGTGTGTTGACATTGTGTTGATGGAGGAGGAGAAAAGTCGAGAATACCCTGTCGTTGATAATAATTACTATTCGACACAAAAGGAATTTGCTGAGTGAATGAAATAAGGATATAATGTGAAATTATGAAATAATATATAAATAATATTTTTTCACGCATTGCTATCAGAAAATTTTCATTACAATCAATTTTGTAGCCTGTTCATTTCTGGATTGACCGAAAAATGTATAACCAATCAGATCATAGTTACAATTGATTATTATAAAATCGATCACCAAGTTGAACGGTCAGTTGATCATTCTACAGTTAAAATTTATTGGTCATAATTTTTAGTGTAACCGACCAAATATCAATTATGAACTATGGTATGATATGATCCGATCGAGCTATACAAATTGTGCTCAATTGTAACTGCGGTTTGACCGGTTAATTTTTTTTCCGATCTGAGCGATACGTCTAACTCTAATAATAATATTGTATAGATGAGTACACGTGAGTCATATACTCATATAGTACTTGACGCAATAACGATACGCAAAAGCCAATCATATTTAATTATTTTTCTAATCATTTAGATACAAAATTAGGGACTTGCAATAATTCTGATAAGTGAACCCAATGTCAAATTTAATAAAGTCAAGTTTAACAAGTGGACCGACAAAAAAATCTTCATACAAAGTTCCACTTCCACTGTCACTTTCTCCCTCTATTTTATCACGTTTTCTCTCCTATTTCACCCCTTTTACTCTTTTTACTACTTCGACGAGAAAAATTAAAGGTAAGTATGACGAGAAAACTCAGGCGGTTATAATATGTAACAGAGAAGACATGGAAAAATTATGGAAAGAAGGATTTTTCGGTAAAGGTAATTTAAGTAGAAGTGAACCTACCTGGTTTTGGAGAAATAGTAATAATGATAATGGAAAAGGAAAAAGAAAAGAAAAACAAAAGTTGGCAGCAGAACAAATTACAGAGCAACGGAGAATTGTTAGAAAGCGAAATAAGAAGGGTCGAGTTAATCAGGTTCAAAATATGAGTAAAGTTCAACAGATAACTAAAGAGGAAGTACAGGAAAAGGAACAAGACGAAGAACAAACAATAGAACAGACTTTAACACAAGAGGAAGAGAATGTATTATTGGAGGATATAGAGACATTGATGTTAACAACACAAGAAGCGTTCTTTTTATGTTATGGTTTGGGAATACTTGATATATATGATTTGCAAGATGTGGGTAAATTTATTTTTATATATAAAAATGATATACATAATATTAATTGATTATGTGAATAATAGAATCTATTGAGTGCAGAAGAAAGTTGGAAATCATTTCAGATTACATCTAGTGGATTTATAATTAGATATATTGTGTATCATTATTTTCGTAGTTTGGGATGGGTTGTTAGGTGTGGTATGAAATTTGGAGTAGATTATGTACTATACGAGAAAGGACCCGTATTTAAACATGCAGAGTAAGTAATTTGTAATAATGTTCTGGGGAGTGAAAAGGGACACAGGAAGTAAACATTAATATTCCAATTGTGTATTTCGTCATTAGGTACGCTGTAATAATATTACCGATTCACACTTCTCAGAATTTTGATAATTCACAGGTTGATGTTGATTTTAGAAATAATTGCATGACATCATGGAGCTGGATGATGAATTTAAATAGAGTTTGCGTACAAGTTAAAAAGGTATGTTTTTAATTAATTAATCTTAAAATCATTAAGAACACAATTATATTAATGATTATTTTGATATATGTTAGTCATTGGTTTTATGTTATGTAATAATTCCATCAACCACAACTTATCTTACTATTACAGAGTGTATAAAGGAATATAAAGTACGACACGTATTAGTTAAAAGATGCATTCCATCAAAACTCAAATAAAAAGAAACTATTTTTCACCCGCTTCTATTTGTTCATGTTTTGATAATGAATGCTCTATGAAAGAAGATAATAATGTTTCCAAAGCACCTTCACTCCATATGTCATAAATTACATGATCAGTATATTCTTCTTTTAATCTGTTGATTTCCTCAAGATCTTCGATTGATGGCCAATAGAATTCACCATGCAATTTATCATAATAATAAATATTTCGAGCACATTGGTCATCCATGTGAGTTTTCAAGCCAAAAAATGATTTATGGTAATTACACAATCTATTATCATTTATTACTAAATAAGTGAGTATTGCTTGATCTTGTCTATGATTTTCTCTGCTGCTGTCTTCGGGAGCTATACATTCTTTCACAAGAGCACATTCATACCATTGATCAATTAAATATTGAGTCTTATTTGTATCAAATATTATTGCAGCTCCGTTACAATTATCATGATTTTTATTTATGTAGTCCTTAATGTCTTGTTTAAAATATTTAAAAACACCGGGATGTGTCCATTCTAATAATTTTCCACTTGATTTAGGACTAATGAATCCATTATATTGTATAAGTAATTCTTCTATCATAGCAAAAAATCCTTTTGATAAAAAACTTCCACTATCTAACCAAATTATTATTCCGGGATATTTCATTGAAACTTCTTTGATTATACCAGGTTTCCATGCATATTCTCCTCTATTTTCATTGACGTCCCAAAATTTCGGATATTTATCAAAATTAAATTCATGAATTTCATTAAAATATCCTCCCTTATTTTCTAGCAAATTTAATATTTTCTTTTGATATTCCACCATACCTAAATCATACACTATTATTCTTGGTTTATATTCCTTCCGAAGTTCTTTTGATGTTTCTGACATATAATATAACCAACTTTGCAATTCGCAGAAATGATTTGCACTTGCTCCTGTTACTATAGTAAATGACAGCGTTGTATTCTCGCTCTTCTTGCCAGACTTCGTTGTCTTTTCCGGAGGTTTAAAATGTTTGCCATTCTCTATATTATCTATTTGTTTATTACACGATTCACTTTTACACTCGACTAACAATCAGTCGGAATGAAAAAGTTAGTAACTATAACAATTGAAACTCATAACAAAATATTTTGTTTATAAAGATCTCACCAATTTGCGAAAAATCGTCATTTGGCGGAATAATATTGTCACTAAATTTTATCGTTAAAAAAAAGAATAAGATAAAAAAAAATACCAATAACTTTATATAATTTCTTCTTAATATTGAATTATTCATTTTATTAAAGAGATAGAAAATTTATGGAAAACTGGCTAGCAGTTCCCTATTATCTATTAACTTTAGCAAAAGAAAGAAAAAGTAAGTGGGAGGAATGGATGGAATGGTGGGAATGGGGGAATGGGGGAAGTAACCTTTTTACCAACTAAAACACGAATTTTATTATAAGTAGAAGTCGCTTTATCGGTGTTTTTTTTATTAACTAGAATCCTGCATATTGATTAATTTATGTCCTTTAAACGAATCACAAATAAATTTGTAGCCGCATTTGTCGCATTTGTTTGGATTTATACGCATATATGCAATGTGTGACAGTTATGTCGATCATTACTATAATAGGATGGGTGATGTTTTACGACCCATAAGAAAATGATGGCCGGATTTGTTGCCAGGTTACACATGGCCTAAGATAAGGTCGTTAAGGTCTGGTCTTTGCCGAAATAATCAAGTGGCAACAAATCCGGCTACCGCTTTTTTCTATGGTAAGTCATTTTTACCATATTTGTCACCGTTATTTGTCACTTTCACGTGAGCTACCTTGTCAGGTGTGCGATTTCGTAATTCTTGATGTGCAAAATTTTATTAAGTTATGAAAGTTATGAAAATCATCACTAGCAAATTTTGTATAGTACTGCATAAAAATTTTAATTTACATGCTACATGATCTAAATGCACCGTTATTTTAAACCTGAATTTAATTTAGATTTATTTATATTAGTAGTGTAAAATACAAGATAAATTAGAATAGGTATTTGCTCTATTTCCATTTTGTTTTAATTAAATTATAAATCAAACCAATCAAACAAGTCGGAAGATAACTGAAAATGATTATGACCAACAAAATAATTACTGTAAGTGATGCGCATTTTCCTTAACAAGTCCGCCTAGTTCTTGTTCTAGCTGTTCGTCCACTTCCATGCTTGCTGAAGGAATGGCGGCGTGTTGGCTAGCAGCACCATACTCATACATTGAATTACGATTATTATTTTGTTGACGTTGTTGAGACAATGAATCTCGGTCAGGAGCTGACAAACTTGTAAATAAATAACGCCAGTAAGCATCAAGACGAAAAAATATGTAAAAAAAAAATTAAAATGAAAAAAAGGTTGATCACCTTGATTTACGGCCCAGCTGTCTATTTAAACCCAAGGCTGCTTGTTTTGAAGCTTTAAAGGACATAACTTCTTGGGCAATCATTTCTATGAAAGTTTTAACAAGAAATTAATACCTATCTTTTATAAACGTTATTTCAAACTCACTTTTCATATCTTCTATTAACTCTACGCTTTCAAACGAAAAATCAAACATATGTTCATGAGCAGGCTGTAAATAAATTTAAAGTCAGCAACTACGTAATATATGCACACAATCATTTCTGAGCCTTACCTCATCTTCTTCGTCATGATAGGCCGCCAAATATGAATGTGCCAGTGCCTGTTCTACAGTAATCCTCGTTGCTGGATCGAATTTTAAAAGTTTCTCTAATAGATCGAGGGCTAAATTAAGAATGAAGTTAGAATTTTTTATCTGTCAACTAACTGACTAACTAACATTATTATTAATATTTACCTAAAGGATTTGCCTTTGGATAGAGTTGTGAAAAGGGAATCGTTGGCATTTTTGGTAAGCTGCTAATGTAAATTTGAGCCTAGCAATATAGCATAAAAATCATTCGTCAAAATTCTTGTTTATAATTCATAAATATATCATTACAACTTTACCCGTTCACTTCCAACTCTCCTCAAGGTTTCTTCATCAGGAGTACCCAAGATTCCCAAAATTTGATTCAATTGGTCGACATAATCGCGACCCTTAAATAAAGGTTTGCCGCCCAACATTTCAGCGAAGATGCAACCAACGGACCACATATCAACTTGAAAAATTTTTATAACAAAAAAACGTAATTATTTACGAAATTATTAGAATGTCAAAATAAAAATCCAAATAATATAAATATCAAATCATACTAGCTTTTGTATAGTTTTGAAAACTTAGCATAATTTCGGGCGCCCTATACCACCGTGTTGCAACATATTCAGTCATGAAACCAGCATTATGGTCTGGCGAATCAGAGAAGCCACGCGCGAGACCAAAATCACATATCTATTAATTAAGTGAAATATTAAACATTAAACAATAAACAATAAAATAAATAATTAGTAAATATAATTATATTATATCTAATGTTTTCGAAGTTGGTTAAACTTCTATCACGAAATAGCATCGTAATAACTTAATTAACTTAAAATAATCCTTCTCCTCTTTGCTACTGACAAAATTCCATAGAAATGATTGCCAAATTATGGATTTTATACCTTAAGTTCACAATCTGCATTTACCAAAAGATTTCCTAAATAAATAAAAATCAGATTAAAAGTTTTTAAATTCATATTATGTGCCATAATATTGAATGGCTAACACTAAGTATTTTTTTAGCATAATCTTCATACCAGGCTTCAGGTCTCTATGCAAAACATTTGCTGAATGAATATATTTTAACCCTCGACAAATTTGATAAATAAAATACTGAAAATGCGCGTCAGTCAATGGCTGTTCGGATCGTATAATTTGGTGAAGGTCAGCCTCCATAAGCTCTTGAAATAAGTAACTTTTGTCCATTAATAATGAAGTAAAAATATTAAAAAATTTAAGTGCGCAATCAAATGAAATTGTCAAATGGGAAGGGTCATCAAATAACAATACAAGATAAATTGACCATGGTCGGATGATGTACGTTACATTTCGTTGAAATCTTGAACATTGGTAATATCCATGTCTAAGATTGATGTAATCTAGATGACATGTAATAATAAAGTGTCAGCACTAACATACTAGTTATCTGCAAAGTCTTATGTTATTTGTCACAGATTTCATCATCGCAATTAAAACTTAAACTAACATTTTCGTGGCCATTAAAATGTCTTAGCAGCTTAACTTCTCGTAATGCGCGTTTTGCTAGAATGTTTTTCTCAAAGACTTTTGTTACTTTTTTAATTGCTACTTGCTCGCCGGTTTCGGTATTTTTTGCTGCACTGTTAAATATTGAAATAAGCGTTCAAGCGTTAGCATTAATTAAAATACGAATTTTAGTATTAGATAGATTTGTTTCATTTAAAAAAGCCTGTAACTTTATATTAGATTTACCATACGACGCCATAAGCTCCTTGGCCTAATTCGCGTATAAATTCAAATTTAGTATCAACTAAAAATTGTTGGTTGAGCACTGGGAAAGCATGGTATGGCATTTTTTTTATTTATTTATCTTTTACGATATAATTAATGCTATCTCAACTCAACTCCTCAACTCAAACTCTGCACTATATATACTTTTTTTTGATTGGAGTATTACACGTGCTTCGCTCAGATCTTTCAATTAAAAATTAACGTCCGCTGGGAGTTTAGAGCTACTTGTATCACGCCCTTGTTTTCCACTATTACTGGCAGTAAAGGAAATGCTATTTGTCACCAAATATGTCACGTTGTTAACGTTATCGGCTAATTACGTTTAAAAAAAAAAAAATTTTATATCTTTTAAATCCTTTTAATTTCAAAATGGCTCGCAGATACGATGCTAGAACTACCATTTTCTCACCAGAGGGTAAATAATAAAGAATATTAAGGGATTATTTTAAATTTATAGAATAATTTTGATATTTGTTAACTAATTAGGTAGACTATACCAAGTTGAATACGCTATGGAAGCCATATCCCATGCTGGTACGGCTTTGGGTATTCTCGCGTCTGATGGTATTGTTATTGCTGCTGAGAAGAAAGTAACATCAAAATTATTGGAACAGACAACAACCAGCGAAAAAATTTATCTTTTAAACGAGTAATTTAAATTTACTGATTTAATTCTTTTGATTTTAATAGTTCAAATTTAATTTAATTATTAATTCCATTCATTGAATTGGAATTTAAAATTTTTATTGATACAAAAGCAATGTCATTTGTGGCGTAGCAGGAATCACTGCCGATGCTAATATTTTGATAAATTATGCTCGTCAAGCTGCTCAGCAGTATCTTTTTACTTATGATGAGGATATCCCCGTTGAACAATTAGTACAAAGACTATGTGATTTAAAACAAGGATATACTCAATATGGAGGCAAGGTTTTTATTTAATTTGACCTTTTTATTCTGGATGCAAATTAAAAAAAAATATTTTAAATTACTAGGACTGCGTCCTTTTGGTGTATCATTTATTTATGCTGGCCATGATAGTCATTATGGTTTTCAACTATATCATTCTGATCCATCCGGTAATTACGGTGGATGGAAAGCAACATGTATTGGAGCTAACAACGCGTCCGCACAGTCTTTATTGAAGCAAGATTATAAAGATGATATTACTCTTAAAGAGGCTAAAGAATTGGCTGCTAAAGTTTTAAGTAAAACAATGGATTCTACTACTCTAAGTAGCGAAAAATGTATGTAATGTAATGTAATGTCTCATTCATTTTAATTATTTCTATTAATTTTTTTTTTTTTTGTTTAGTGGAATTCGCTACTATTAGTCTTAATGATGAAAATAAGGTTGTTTACCATCTTTATAAACCTGATGAAATTGACCTCTTATTAAAAGAACACAATTTAGGAGGTCAAGAAACTGAACAATAAATAATAAAAAATTTATTTTTCTAAAAATACAGTTTACATTGTAATAAATTTTTTAAAGTGCAATGTTTCAGATAATATTTTATTTTGAAAAGGTTATAAAAAGTAGTTGAATTTATGATTACAAAATCTAATAATATTCACGTTATCGTGTTATCTCTCAAGATCCTGATATTCTAAGTTACATAATAGTGACGGATTATATCCCTAAAAGTAATCCAAGACAACATTTGCAAAAAATTTTGCTTTTAACCGAAAAGATCTAATCCCATATCTTCATCGGTTTCTTCATCAGGTTCTTCTTCCTTAACTGGTGCAGACTCTTTAGTTTCATCAGCAGCAGCAGCAGCAGCAGGAGCGGCAGCCGCAAAAGCACTTGGATCTGCAAGATAAGCTTTAATCTATTAAACAAAAATAATAAGGTTAAGCAAATATTGAAAAATCAAGGAGAATAACATAATTAAAATTCACATAAAACCATCAGTAAAAAATTAGAGTATAGTAATTTTTGTACAGTCATTTTAAATCCTTCAAATTAAACGAACATCACATGGTTCTATTAAAAAAGTAGAGTTATTACCTTTTCGGAAGCAGGGAAAGTATATTCAGTAGCAACAGATATGGCTAAAAGATTCTTAAATCCATTGATAAGTGAATGAGGAATAGAAGCTAGTGTAGGGTAATGGAGTTGTAAAGAAAGAGCAGCAATTCTTCTAATTCCAGTCAATAAATGACTAATTAGGGTATCTTCTTCAATATCAAGAACAGAAGGATGAAATGTAGTGCCATTATCAAAAATTTGAGTAACAGTCATCCCATAAGTAAATGGAGAGATGTTTAACATATTAAGTAAAGTAGCTTCAGATGCACCAACTTTTGTTTCTTTTTTTACCAAATGTACTTGATTAATGATTTCAATTGTACCACGAGCAATTTTGGTTGGAACACCAAGAGCCTGAAAAAAAGAGGTCTTTCCCGGTTCCATGCCAGTATTACCCGCTGGCACAAATACGTCGATAGGAGCAATAGCTCCAGCCTTAGCAGGAGCTTTAACCTACACCAACAAATATTAATCTAAGACATTTCAAATATAATTGCAAGATTTTGATATATTACATCTTACCCTGTTGGACAAAATAACATCCCGAGTTTCTTTCAAATCACCATTAGTGAAAACAAACCCAACGTTACCTTTTACATGTGGTAAAAGTTTCTCATATTGGGCGTTTTCAGGGATAAGACCTTTAAGGGCTCTTCTAACCATTGTATTCTTTCCCATTAATACAACAGCTTTGCGGCGAAGAGTGTGACGAATTTGATGCATTTGATTGGACCCGACATTATCAACATTCACAATAAATATGGAAGGGTACTCTTCTAACAAGGTCTTAAGCTTATTGAAATATTCAAATTTTTTTGTGCGAACGTCTCCCTTTGACATCTTTGAATTTTTCACGTGTTCAAGGGGATCCTGTCAGGAAGCTTAAAGAACGTTCTGATAAAATAGAGGGAGAAAAAAAATTTTAATTTTTTTCAAACGATAATTAAACTAGAGCTAGTATGAAATAACCTAAATGTATTTCATCCATTCTATAATTTACATTTTTTAATCATAACATGATATAAATATAAATTGTACGAATGAAAAAGCACAACAACAAGAACTATCAAGTTGATTTCTACCTACCGCAAATGTGGTATTCACGAGTTAAGAAGAAAAATTTTTTTTAAAAAAATTCTTTATCTAAAATTCAAATCAAGATCAGCCAATCAAATTCGATCTGCATGCAAGTATTTAAACTTTCATATAAACGTTTTATAGCTTTCTTAGATTTAAAACATGGGAATAGTTCTTGCCAAACTATGGCGTAAACTTACCAGTAAAGAAGAGGTGAAAATCGTGCTCGTCGGTTTAGATAACGCGGGAAAAACGACAGTTTTGTATAAATTGTAAATATCTGTTGAAGCTTTAATATTTTAAGATATTTCCAACGAAACGATACTTTACAAAAATAAGGCCCGAAACTTTTATTTCTTATAAAATAGATTATTAGATGAAGTGGTTGTAACAACACCAACTATAGGTAGTAATGTCGAGGTAACTGTAATGATTTTGCGTTTATGGCTATTAAAAAATTTGATCTGAATTTCTTTTTGTTTTGTTAAGAAACTTACTTATTTTATTTAGGAGATCATTTATAAAAATATACATTTCTTAATGTGGGTAAGTTCCTTTAACATCTTTTTCATAAATAGATCAGTTTATTCCCGAATTCAAGCTTTCTTTTCCAATTCTCAGGATCTTGGAGGGCAAGATTCTTTACGTGCAACATGGAAAACTTATTATATAAAAACAAAAGCTGTGATTATGGTCATTGATAGTACTGATAAAGATCGAATACATATATCGAGGACTGAATTGCATACAATGATGGAGGATGAGGTAATTATACAATTAAAATCAGTAATCCCAAAATTCCAAGCGCAATTCTTTTTTTTTTTTATTTTTATTTATCTATTTAACCAAATAATAGAACCTCAAAAGTGCTGTACTATTAGTTTTTGCAAATAAACAAGATATGAAAGGAGCATTAACTGCTGCACAGATATCTGAGGCCTTGAATCTGACAAGTTTAAGAGATCGCCAATGGCATATACAGGTAAAATTTTTAAATTTTTTAAATTAAATTGATAATTTCTTAAACCTTTTCTAAATTAAACTTACATTAAATATAGGCATGTTGTGCACTAACTGGAGACGGGTAATAATATTTTTCTACATTTATCCTTACAGATATAGAATAATTTTATTGATTAAACAATTTTTTATTTATAGTTTGTTTGAAGGACTAGATTGGATTGTAAGTCAAATTGGTAATACTTAGTTAGATTACCTGTAGGATTCTCCTTAAATTAATAACAAAGTGAAATTAGAGAATCAATAATTGATTATTTTTAGAATTTACTTTTGAAAAATATTTTAAATAAATAATTTATATGTATTATATATTTATTTATTTTATATTAAGTATAGATAATTATATTATATAATTATAATGTTTTTTTAAAAGTAAAAGATAATAAATTTATGGATTTAAAATTTGTTATGCATTTGAATATAAATTTTTTTATTAAAGAAAAAAAAATATTTTTTTATACAATAAATTTATAATTCAATATGATAATGTATTGCATTTAAGCCAATATTTATAAAATAAATAAAAAAAAGGGTATTGCTAAATATCACCAGTGGTGATCGTCACCACATGTAAAATATTTTTTGAATTTTCAAAAATTTTTGACTGTGACATTATTCTAATTATAATATAATAAATATCATTACTATATGTAAATTTATGGGTAGAACAAGTTTGCCTTAGATTATAAAGGCTGTTGCTTAGATAGTTTTTGAGAAAAATAGGAAAGTTTGATTTTATAAGCAAAATACAATTTTTTGTTTTAAAAAAGATTTTTTTTAGTCAAATTTTCAAAATTTTAGTGTGATTAGTATCTACTCAGGTTTGTTTTACACATTTATTATTTAAATTGAAATTTTTGAAAAAAAAATTATGATGTGTTTTTTAACTCTGGCCAAAATTATAATTTTCGGCCAGAATTAAGTGGTGTGATGACGATCACCACTGGTGATATTTAGCAATACTCTAAAAAAAAATTTAAATTTAAATATAAAAAAACTTTAAAAAAAAACTTCTAAATAATATCTATAAAATAAAAGAAAAAAAATATAATTTAAGAAAATTTCTAATTTTAACTAGAGGGAACTTCCTTCTATAATAAATAATAGATAACAAATAGGATTTTTAATAACAATACCAAGTTCCCAGATTAATTAACAAAATAAAGACTGTGAAGGTATAATACATTGTAATAAATAAAATAAATCTAATTTCTAATCTAATTCTAGCTAGTAATATCTAGTTAAATCCTTTTTGCCAAAAATTTCAATTTTATTACCAACTAGTTTTGGACCTTTAGTTTTATTATTGACTAAACAACAGGGCAGACATCCTTATATCATCTTACCGATCATTTTCTGATCATATAGTAATTTATTTGGTGATATCGACTTTAAGGCTTCAGGTAAAGTCACAGAAGTTTAGGCGAAACTTGAAACTTTTATAGGTTCCAGATTAACAGCTTTAAAATTTATAGCCAAAATAACACAGTGAAATTTTTGGTAACACAAAAATTATAGTCAAAATTATATTTGCAATTACAGTCAACTCCCTCTATAGTCACTCCCGTTATAGTCACATTCTACTATATAGTCACACCAGTTGAATGTTCAAAACACTTTATTATTAAAATTTATCCTATATAGTCACAATCTATCTATAGTCACTATCACACCTATTC